TCAGCTTATTGCCCCCACAAACTGGGTCCTCATTTTACCTACCTTAGAAAGGATGGAAGGCTGAGTCAACCTTGAGCCTGGTGAGATTTGAACTTGCAGTAATTGCAGGCAGCTGGTGCACTGTAACAGTGCTTAATCAGCTACGCCACCAGGCCTAATTGCCTGGTGAGTCTAATTGCCTCTTGGCGAAAAAAAAAGGTGCTTTTTTTTCGCCAAGAGGCAATTAGACTTTCTTGTTTTTCTTTGAAGACGTTTCGCTTCTCATCAGTGGTGGGATTCAAGTAATTTAACAACCGGTTCTTCTGCCCTAATGATTTCTTCCAACAACCAGTTTGCCAAACTGCTCAGAAAGTTAACAACCGGTTCTCCTGAAGTGGTGCGAACTGGCTGAATCCCACCACTGCTTCTCATCCAAGAAGCTTCTTCAGCTCTGACTAGATGGTGTGGAATGGAAGGGTTTATATTCCTTGCAGCTGGTCGTTTGCATCCTTTTAGAGAGTCGTTGAGGCCACCGGGAGGTTTATGTGTTTCCTCAGGGTCACCTAAGGAGGGATTTCCTGACAGTTAGAACAATTCATCAGTGGAACGACTTGCCTCCAGACATTGCGGGTGATCCAACACTGGAAGTTTTAAAGAAAAGATTGGACAACTTTTGTCTGAAATGATAGGGGGTTTCCTGCCTGAGCAAGGGGTTGGACTGGAAGACCTCCAAGGTACCCCTCCAACTCTGTTATTGTTAAATTGTTGTTGTTGTTAGTTGTGAAGTCATGTCCGACACATCGTGACCCCATGGACAATGTTCCTCCAGGTTTTCCTATCCTCTACCATCCTCTGGAGTCCATTTAAGCTCACTGCTTCAATGATTCCATCCAGCCACCTCATTCTCTGCCGTCCCCTTCTTCTTTTGCCCTCCATCTTTCCCAGCATTAGGCTCTTCTCCAGTGAGTCCTTCCTTCTCATTAGGTGGCCAAAGTATTTGAGTCTGTTAAGTAATAATGATAAAATAAATAAATAAAAAAGAACTCTGCCCTATAACTCTTTGGGAACACCAGATAAATTCAATTCCCCTCTTCTCCATGTGGAGAGATACTTCTGTAATATTAATTGAGGTGGGCAAAAGCAGAGTGAGTTACAATCCTTCAAAAGAAAAGCAAAATATGATCAGCACGTGATGGGACTTAATGAGAAGCTTCAGAAGATCCTTCCCTAGTTTGGAGAAAGAAAGTTAAATGGTATAAATATATACTTAAGTATAAACGTGTAATTAAATAAATGTATACTTAAGCAAGTAAAAATACTTAAATGGATGTAATTATAAATTAAATGTTTATATAAATATAAATACTTTTAGTTCTAAGGGTAAAGAAAAATCACACCGGGAAAAAAAAATAGATTTGGATTTGGCTAGAAATAAACAACAACAAAATCCGGAGTTGCAATAATGTATGCTTAATTAACCAGTTACATTTGCCAAATCTAAATTGATCTCTTTTGCATAATTACATAACAATGCAAATTATTTAACTTGTTTCTACTGAATCTACATTTAGTAGATGCATCTGCTACAAAAGGGATTGAATCAGGGGTGAAATTCAGCAGGTTCTGACAGGTTCTGGAGAACCGGGAGCGGAAATTTTGAGTAGTTCGGAGAACCGGGAAATACCACTCTGGCTGGCCCCAGAGTGGGGTAGGAATTTATTTATTTATTTTATTTATTTATTTTATTTTTATACCGCCCTTCTCCCGAAGCTCTCTTCAAGGGGAGTCCTATGTAGAGAGCATTACAGTAGTCCAGATGGGAAGTAACGATGGCATGAGTGACCGTGCGTAGGGAGTCCTGATCCAAAAAGGGCTGCAACTGGCAGATCAGGTGAACCTGATAAAAAGCCCCCCTGGCCACGGCTGTCACATGCTCTTCTAAAGACAGCCGTGCATCCAGCAGGACTCCCAAGTTGCGAACTCTCTCTGTGGGGGCCAGAGTTACACTCCCAATAGTCAGCGATGGCACCAGCTGGCTATATCGGGATGCTGGGAATCACAGCTACTCAGTCTTGGAGGGGTTGAATCTGAGCCTGTTTCTCCCCATCCAGATCTGCACGGCCTCCAGGCATCGGGCCATCATGTCAAGGGCATCATTTGGGGTGGTCCGGGGTGGAAATGTACAGCTAAGTATCATGGAATGGAGATTTTGCAGTATCCTTCCCCTGGAGTGGGGTGGGAATGGAGATTTTGCAATATCCTTCCCCTGGAGTGGGGTGGGGATGAAGATTTTGCAGTATCCTTCCCTGCCATGCCCACCAAGCCATGCCCACCAAGCTACACCACGCCACGCCCACAGAACTGGTACTAAAAATATTTGAATTCCACCACTGGATTGAATCTGAACAGGTTCCATTTGTTAATTCCAAAATCTGCTATATCTTCTAGTGTGTTCGAAATTAAATGTATATGAAGTTCAAAACCACAAGGAACAAAAATGGGATATCGCCAGTGTGGGAAGTACCATGTTTCCCCCAAAATAAGACCCTGTCTTATATTTTTTTGAACCCTGAAATAAGTGCTTGGCTTTATTTTCGAGGAGCGAAAATAAGGGGCATGGACCAAGTGGGGCTCCTCTTGTTGTCTTACCTGATTTCCAGCTCTGTGTTTAAATATTTTCGGGGAGGGCTTATTTTTGGGGAGAGGCTTATTTTATCGCATGTGTTTTCCCGAAAATAAGACCCTGTCTTATATTTTTTTGAACCCTGAAATAAACGCTTGGCCTTATTGCCATGTGCTCAAAAGCCCGATTGGGCTTTTTATCAGGGGATGTTTTATTTTGGGGGAAGCAGGGTACATTAAAAGAATTCCACTTTCTGGCAGCTGGCTTCTGCATCCATTTCTTCTCAGTGTCTGTGGTGTGTCCCAGTTGGGAATGAACCGGGGAAATTTCTTCCAACACCAGAAACAGTTGGGTTTGTCTAGATGTTTCAGTGTGTTAATTTGTTCTTTACAGGGTGCTGTCATTATTCCAGACTTACGTTCCGTTCTTTTGGATCCTGAATGCTGGGAAGCACCTGAAGAGTTCAATCCAAATCATTTTTTGGACAAGGCAGGGAATTTTGTAGAAAAAGAAGCATTTCTTCCCTTTGGAGCAGGTAATTTTTTAGAAAAGTAATTGTGATTGCCAAATGATGCTTAATTTATGAAGAGGGTGCTATAGTGAGACAGAAATACAGGTGGTCCTCACCTTATAATTGGTCATTTTGCAACCGTTGGAATTTACGGTTGGACACTTCAGGCACAAAAACACAGGAGGCAGCACAGAATTCAAAAGCAGTGGAAGTGTTAGGGTTCCCTAAATTGGGACAAAATTATCCATCTTGTCAACTTTTTTTTCAACCTTTCTTCCAGATGACAAAAAAAAGTAACATCCAGTTTAGAATCCAGTGAATAAGCCAACTTAGGTCCTAGGTCAGTGGTGGGTTCCTCCTGGTTCGGCCGAGCTGGTAGCGGTGACGATATGACGTCACCAAACTAGTTCTCCCCTCCCACCCCCCACCCCACCCCATTATTCTTACCTTTTATTTGGTCCCACCCCCAATCTATTGCTGTTTCCTGAGTCCCAGCTGATGACTAGAGGGAAAAAAACTGTTTAAACTCTTGCCGCGGGGCTTCAAAGGGCCGTCCTACAGCTGATCAGTGTTAAAAGCAAACAAATGAGTCAGGTCGTAAGTACGAGGACTGGTCGTAAGTGTGAGGACCTTCCAGAAATGACTCTGACTAGCTAGCCACACCCACCTAGTCACATGACCACCAAGCCACACCCACAAAATAAGCCACACCCACAGAACCGGTAGTAAAAAAATTTAGAACCCACCCCTGTCCTAGGTTCTCAAACATTGATGTCATTATGGTAACTATCATTGGTATTTTCTCTTTATTCTTCTCAAGAGGCTACTCAATGGACAGTCTTCTTACATCTCCTCAAACTGTATGGGCAATCATTATAAAGTAAAAAAAAAAAAAATCTAGGAAGAAAAAAAGGAATTGTAGTTATAAACAGTTACCAGCAGATGTCAGCCAAAGTCAATAAAACAGAGAGATTCTGCAATGCACCTACCCAGCTAATGATAATATTCCTAATCATGGCCAGTTCAGTCAGGTGAAGTAGGGTAGGAGGTACTATGGGAAGACAAACCTGGAATGAAAAAATGAGTTATTCGGGTTTTCTCAGCTGCGATCACACACATTGCTCCTAAAAGCATGAAGCCAAAGACACCAGCCTGAAGATGACGAATGAGACTTCGTCGAAACGTTGCCAAGAAACCTCCAATTTTACGTGGGAGAAAACCCGAATAACCAAAGACCTACATACAAACACCCGCGAAAACCTCAGAAAACAAATATATATATATATATTTATAACATATAAATATAAATACATATATAAATACATACATATAAATATGTATATATGTATATATGTATATATGTATATATGTATATATGTATATATGTATATATGTATATATGTATATATGTATATATGTATATATGTATATAATAATTAAACCAGGTTCAAATTCACACAAACATTGCAAAGTGGAGCAAATATTTAATGGATAGGCAAAATGGATTATTGCTGATTTGTTTTTCCTTCATTTTTTTTTTTTTTTTGTCCAGGAGTTCGGGCCTGCTTGGGGGAAATCCTGGCAAAGACGGAGTTCTTCAACATTTTTACCAATCTGCTGAGGCAATTTAGGTTGGAGCCACCAGAGGGTGTGGAAAAGCTCAGTGAAAAATCTATCTTAGGCGTGTCTGTGCATCCTGCTCCTTATAAGATTTGTGCTCTCCCTCGTATCAGGACACCATAATATGGACAGATATCAAGAGAGTTCTCATTTGTTACCTGTTATGATCTCTCCTTTGTTCAAGATAGTCCATTTATAATCCCATAAATGATTGTAGGATCGATCACCTTCAAGATCTTCCTGAATGAACCAATAGTTGAATCAATCAATCTTCAGATCTTGCTGAATAACTCCTCCCAGCATTTCTCAGGATTTGGGGTGGAAGGGGGGGGGAGGCATCGTGGGCCGCATAGTTTGCATCCTTTAACTTTGCTGTAGCTAGGGAGCTTAAAGCAGGGGTGTCAAACTCAAGGCCTGTAGTGCCTCTGTCGGTGAAAACGAAGGTCATTTTCACTGGCAGAGGGTTGCAGGAGGCCGTCGCAGGCGAAAACAGAGTTTGGGAGCCCATTTTCACTGGCAGAGGGTTGCAGGAGGCCGTCACGGCCAAAAACGGAACTTGGGAATCCATTTTCACTGGCAGAGGGTTGCAGGAGGCCGTCACAGCCGAAAACGGAGCTTGGGAGCCCATTTTCACTGGCAGAGGGTTGCAGGAGGCCATCACAGCCAAAGCTTGGGAACCCATTTTCACTGGCAGAGGGTTGCAGGAGGCTGTCACAGCCGAAAACGGAGCTTGGGAGTCCATTTTCACTGGCAGAGGGTTGCAGGAGGCTGTCGCAGCCGAAAACGGAGTTTGGGAGCCTATTTTCACTGGCAGAGGGTTGCAGAAGGCCGTCGCAGCCGAAAACGGAGCTTGGGAGCCCATTTTCACTGGCAAAGTGCTCAGGCCACCACAGGTGCCTGCCGACACGAGTGATGTCAATCTGGCCACTCCTACCCTGGCCACACCCACCCCAGTCCCCTGAGGTCAAACATAACCCCGATTTGGCCCTCAATGAAATTGCGTTTGACACCCCTGGCTTAAAGGGAGAGGGAGTTCACACTATCTGCAGTGACTCCCTATGAACCAGTTCGGGCCGGGTATCCAGGGTCGCCGTGTTCCGATCAAGCCTCGCCGATTTCCAAAACACCTTTGTGGCATATTATTGGCTACGGATGGACAGGGGGTATTGGGGTGGAAGGGAGAAGGGGGAAAAGTTAGCCTAACGCTTCGCGCCTGAATTTCAGACTCTGCCTGACTTCTCTGCAATCGCTATCTCTCAGTAAAAGTCCCTTTTGAAATGCAAACGGTTTCAAGAGTTTTACTTTCTTGGAAAGGTAGCTGAGGCAGACACTTACAATTGGCCTGTTTCATTCCATCCCTGGAAGCAGAAACCTAGATCTCTCACATTGACTGCTGTAGTACAGTCAAACACCAGAGGGCAGGAGAAGAAACAATGGTTGGAAACTAACCAAGGAGAGAAGCAACCTGGAATTGAGGAGAAACTTCCTAACAGTGAGGACAATTAACCAGCGGAACAGCTTGCCACCAGAAACTGCGCGATGTGGATTTGATAGAGATCAATACATTTTTTGGTTTACTGTTCTATACATCAATTTTTAGATGAAATGAAAACATCGAATGTCTTTTTGCTACATGAGGTCATTATGATCTCATGTTTGTAATAAGAGTAGCTGGAATAGTATGTCTGTGGTTAACCATTGAGTCTGTCAGTGTTCCAGAAAAAAACTCCAACTCTGAATAAAAACTCTGAAGCAAGCATTTTTCAAAGTTCTATTTACTAGAATAGGTAAACTGGCACATCTGGAAAAACTCGAATCTGAAAGGTCCGGGTTTTCCCTCAGTAAATCAAAACCCCCAAAACCATCCCCTCAGTCCTCAGTCGATCACATGCTCCAATCAACATCCGTCCCATCTCTACTCAGCCCCCTGACCACTCCTTCTCCAGATGCCGGATCGCCCTGACCTTGACCGACAGGAAGAATGCTATTATGTCTACAGACAACCCCTCTACTAAATCCCCCCTCCTATTTTTCCACACATGAGAAGGTGGCAGCATGGAAGCTTCTGGCCTAATATGGCTTCCAAAGCTGACAGAGTCATTGTACCACACTATTAGGGAGGGAAAAGGAGGTCATAAACACATACCTGAAGTTGGTGTGTCAATTTTCTTTTGTGTCATCATACACAGCTCTTGCTTATCATGCTGTTCTCACAACTTCTGTGCTTCAGCATTCTAAATAGCTTTAAAGATATTATTATAAAAGAACACAGCCTCCTCTAACACCTTCTTTCACCTACTAAAACCCATCCCATTCCTTTCAGGAATTAAATGATTATTGCTTGTGGGATTTTCTTCACCATCCCTTGTATCTGCAACATATAGTTGTATCCTCTTTAGGCTTGTTATTTGGGATACAAATATATAAAATAAAAAAAAAACCAATAAAATAACCGCAAAGAGACTTTTATATGCCCAGAGATGGAAAGACTTACTTACTTACTTACTTACTTACTTACTTACTTACTTACTTACTTTATTTGATTTATATACCGCCCTACTCCCGAAGAACTCAGGGCCGTAAACAGCCAAATAGTAAAAATACATAGATACAAAATTTAAAAACAAAGTAAAATCGAATTAAACAATTTGGCCCAGATAGATTAAAACACCCCAATCATTTAAAAACCGATTAAAATTTGCATAATTAAAAAGAGGGAAAAGATTAGGCCAGGCCCGCCTGGTGGAATAAAAAGGTTTTAAGAGCGCGGCGGAAGGTGCGCAGATCCGGGATCCTCCGTATCTCCGGGGGGAGCTCGTTCCAGATCGTAGGTGCCCCCACAGAGAAGGCTCTCCCGCTAGGGGCCGCCAGTCGACATTGTTTGGCCGACGGCACCCGGAGGAGCCCCTCTCTATGAGAGCGTACCGGCCGGTGGGAGGCTATTGGTGGTAGTAGGCGGTCCCGTAGACTTACAGAGTCCCACAATGGAAGAATGGATGTTGGTTAATGGAATTGACCGAGATGGCAAAATTAAGAACCTTGATTAAAGAAAAGACGTTTTCTAGCTCCACAAAAACCACTTTTGGATTTTTGCTGACAACCAAAAGAAATATGGCATTAATTAACAATCAACCAATGGAACAGAAGTTGCCTTCAGAAGTTGTGGGAGCTTCATCCCTGGAGGCTTTCAAGACAAGATTGGACTGCCATTTGTCAGAAATGGTGTAGGTGTAGGGTTTCCTGCTTGGGTGGGGGGTGGGGAGGTTGGAATAGATTTTTAATTACAGATTAACAGAGTTGGAAGGGACCTTATAGGTCATCTAGTCCAACCCCCCTCTCAGCAGGAGATCCTACACAAGTTCTGACAAATGTCAGTCCAATCTCTTCTTGAAAGTCTCAAGGGATGAAGCTCCCACAACTTCTGAAGGCAACTTCTGTTCCATTGGTTGATTGTTCTCACTGACAGAAAATTTCTCCTCATTTCCAGGTTTTTTTTTTTTTTAATTTGATTTATATGCCGCCCTTCTCCGAAGACTCAGGGCGGCTTACAATGTGCTCAGCAATAGCCTTCATCCTTTTGTATATTTATACAAAGTCAGCTTATTGCCCCCACAAACTGGGTCCTCATTTCACCTACCTTAGAAAGGATGGAAGGCTGAGTCAACCTTGAGCCTTGGCGAGATTCGAACCCTGCAGTAATTGCAGGCAGCTGGTCTTAATAAGCTTAATAAGCTTAATAACAGGGTGCCTTAAACCCCTGTACTACCAAGGCTCTTGAATCTCTCCTTGTCCAGTTTCCATCGATTATTCCTTGTCTGGCCTTCAGGTGCTTTGGAGAATAGCTTGACCCCCTCCTCTCTGTGGCAGCCCCTCAAATATTGGAACACTGTTGTCATGTCTCCCCTGGACCTTCTCTTCACTAGACTAGCCATGCCCACTTCCTGTAACTGTTCTTCATATGTTTTAGTCTCCAGTCCCCTAATCATCGTGGTTGCTCTCCTCTGCACTTTTCTAGAGTCTCAAGAGTGTGGTGACCAAAACTGGATGCAGTACTTTAGGTGTGGTCTTCCTAGGGCTTTATAGAGTGGTATTAGTACCTCACTTGATCTTGATTGTATCCCTCTGTTAATGTAATTTAGGATTACATGGGCTTTTTTGGCTGCCACTGCACACTGCCAGCTCATATTTAGCTGATTGTCCACTAAGACTCCAAGATCCCCCTCACAGTCACTGCTATTAAGCCTGGTTTCCCCCAGTTTATATGTCATTTATGAAGTCTTTTATGAAGATATTGAAGAGTACTGGGCATAAGATGGAACCTTGTGGTACCACACTGCTTACTTCTCTCCATGTAGACTTAGACCCATTAAGGACTACTCGTTGAGTACAGTTTGTCAGCCAGTTGCGAATCCATCTGGTGGTGAAGCTATCTATTCCACTTTTTTCTAGCTTATGAAGAAGTAGGTTGTGGTCTACTTTGTCGAATGCCTTGCTGAAGTATATTATGTCCACAGTATTTTGCTGGTCTACTAATTTAGTCACTATGTTGAAGAATGAAATAAGATTGGTTTGGCATGATCTGTTTTTAACAAACCCATGCCGGCTGCTAGCTATTACTTTACTCGTTTCTAAGTGTTGGAAGATCTGTTTTTTTATTATCTTTTCCAGTATCTTCCCAGGTATTGATGTTAGGCTGATTGGTCTACAGTTTCCTGAGTCTGGTTTTTTTCCTCCTTTTTTGAAGATGGGAACCACATCAGCTCTTTTCCGGTCCTCTGGTAGTTCCCTGGTGTTCCAGGGTTTTTGAAAGATGTGGTACAGTGGTTCTGAGATGACATCTGCCAGCTCCTTTAGAACTCTGGAATGTAATCTGTCAGGTCCTGGTGATTTGTATTCATCAAGATCAGACAGGTGTTCTCTTACTATTTTTTTTTCTTATTTTAACTTTTAGTCTGTTTTTTCAGTTATATTTCTGGTAGGTTGGACTATAGTTTCTTTTTGTGTGAAGACCGATGCAAAGAATGAGTTAAGCAGCTTTGCTTTCTCTCTGTTGCCTGTTACTTCCTTGCTGTCTTCTCTCTTTAGCAGACTGATTGTTTCCTTGATTGTTTTCTTGTTATTTATATGTTGGAAGAAACTTTCTTTTATTATCTTTCACTTTTGTTGCAATGATGATGAGGTTGCAAAGATGACCTACAAGGTCCCTTCCAACTCTGTTAATCTGTTAATTTTGGGATCTGATGATTAGGATTAACGATTAGAGAAACACTGTGCAATATTGAATTTTAGATCAAGAGCTTAAAGTATTTTATATTTGTAACTTGTATTGAAGAAAGTTGGAAGTTGCCCCTTTTCTATTTTTTTTTTCTTTTTTCCCTTTTGTCTTTGCATCTTTCCCTTCTTTGTGTTTTCCTTTTTAAATATTATTTCTTGTTCTTTTTTAAAATTACGTTATAACTTTTGTGGAAATTTAAGAAAGTGCATTTCAAAAAAAAAATATTACAAGCTGCTGTTTTTACTAAATTAATGCAAAGACAAATTCATTAGGAATTGATGGCAGGAGGGAATAAGCAGCTGCAGAAGTTATTTCCCGCCCCCCCCAAATTGAGGTATTGAATCAAGATGTCTTTGCATTGGGATGATGAACTCTGGAAGATTCTGGATATAAAAAGAGCTATAATATAATACATCCTTAATTAGATACTCCTCTGCTAAACTGGTATTTAGCAATTGTGACTTTTAAGATCAATCCTCTAATTGTTCTAGAACGGGCATACCGTGTTCTATTTGCTTCATAAAGCAATGAAAGTCATGTTCCAGAACAGTTTGACTGAGACAGCAGACGATTCTTAATTAGGAGAGAATACAGAAGTATTCTGGTAGCAAAAATATCAGAGCCACCATTCACTTATAAAGAACCAACAGAGAAAAGCGTCCCAGGCTCAAGATCTACAACAGATTATAGGGCTGGAGAACGAGAAGGCAGGAGGATGTTGAAGCCACTGTTCCTTCTGATCCTTTGGATTCCACGCCAGATTCTTTCCTATCTGAAACAGATCTGGTCACGCAAACGCTACCCACCGGGGCCTTTTCCACTTCCTGTAATAGGAAGTATGTGGCGGCGATTTGATACTTCCATAACGGAGATGACTTTCAGAAAGGTATGTCTTTTGTACTTAATTTGTACTTTTTGTACTTTTGTATTTAAACCAAAAAGAAGCAAGGTATCAGTTGCCACTTTATGCTCGCTTGTGCTTCACTGCTATGCGGTGATAGCTATGAACTGTCGGGAGGGGGAAATGCAGCAGGGGGGATGCTTCGGAAAATGAAAGTATGTACAATATCCCCTCGAGACACTGCCTTAAAGTCAGCCAAATGGAAGAAGGAGGGGGATGCATACCAAACGATGCTTGGATTGACTGTTAGGGAAACATCTTGCCTGAACCTCTTCAATATCTTCATAAATGATTTAGATGAGGGAACAGAAAGGGAACGGATCTAATTTGCAGATGACACAAAACTGACATATGGACTTCACAACTCAACCAGGGTAAAGCAATAGACGCAATTTATATAGACTTCTGTAAAGCATTCGATTCAGTGGTACACGACAAACTACTTCTAAAGCTAAAATCTTATGGCATTTCCAGATTCCTGCATAAGTGGATAGCTGCGTTCCTATCAAACAGGCAACAAGTAGTCAAAATAGGGAACACCCTATCAAACCCTTGCACCTGTTAACAGCGGTGTCCCCCAAGGAAGCATTTTAGGACCCACACCAGTGGTGAAATCTAAAATTTGTTACTACCGGTTCTGTGGGCATGGCTTGGTTGGGGGGGGGGGTAAAGTGACTGGGTGGACGTGGCCAATTTTTTTTTTAACTTTTAAAACCATTTTTTCCTACAACCTCTTTGGTGAAGAGGTTGTTAAAAAATGCTTTCAAAAGGCTCTGACAATCCCAGCTGAGTTGCCTGATTGGCAGAGACTTTTTTTCTTTTAAATGCCTCTGATGATCAGGCAACTCAGCTTGGATTGTCAGAAGCATTTTTTTTCTTTTAAATGCCTCTGACAATCAGGCAACTCAGCTTGGATCGTCAGAGGCATTTAAAAGAGAAAAAAGGGCTTTTTTTTCTTTTAAAAGCCTTTGATGATCCCAGCTGAGCCGCGCAATCATCAGAGGCTTTTTTTTTTTACTTTTAAAAGCATTTTTTCGGCCGAAGAAGTTGTAGAAAAAATGCTTTTAAAAGTAAAAAAAAAAGCCTCTGATGATTGTGCGACTCAGCTGTGCATTGGGGGGGGGGGCAGGGATTTTTGCTACCGGTTCTCCGAACCTCCCGTCTCCATTGCTACTGGATCGGGCAATTCGGTCCGAACCGGGAGCATTTCACCCCTGACCCACACTCTTTATACTTTACATAAATGACCTTTGCGATCAGATTATAAGCAATTGCGTTCTCTTTGCTGATGATGTAAAACTATTCAACATCACCGACAATGCTACTACCCTTCAAAAAGACCCTGATTTTGTGTCGGAACGGTCAAAAAATTGGCAACTCCAAATCTCAACCGACAAATGCTCTGGTTGTGCTTTTTTTAAAAAATAAAATTAATTTTTTTTAATTTGATTTATATGCCGCTCTTCTCCGGAGACTCAGGGCGGCTTACAATGCGTTAAGCAATAGCCTTCATACTTTTGTATATTTATACAAAGTCAGCTTATTTCCCCCACAAACTGGGTTCTCAAAGTACTTATGCTTCAGCATTACAAATAGCTTTTAAAAGATTATGATAAAAGAACATGGTCTCCTGACACACCCTCGTAAGCCTATTAAAAACCCATCCCTTTCTTTTGTTCTTGTTTCTCTTTTGCTGATAAACAGGAATCAAATGATTGTTTCTGGCAATAAGGCATGGTTTTCCTTCTCAGAGTTGCACCATGATTTATACCTGCAACATCCCTGCCTCTGTATGCTTGTTTCTCACCTTTAGTATTGAAGCAAACAAGTTGCATTCCAGTGACTCTGTGTGCTGGTCTCTGGTACAAATGAATTTCTCAACGTTCTCCTATACTGTGTGCCATGAGATCATTGTAAATAGTATAACACTTAAGCAGAAGCAAGTCAGAGCAAGCCAATCTGTTCTGTGAGGACAAGCCATAATTCAAGAACCATTGTTAAGTATTGGGTTCCTGTGTCATGGCTCCGAGTAATGCTCCCAATTAGCTCAAACCTCTGAGGCTCTTGCTTTCTCAAAGATCTTGTTTCTTGGGTACATCATTGGTCGCCACCTTTAAAGCGCTCCATGGCATAGGACCTGGATATTTACGAGACCGCCTTCTGTCTCCGATAGCCTCCCACCAACCAGTACGCTCCCACAGAGAGGGTCTCCTCAGGGTGCCGTCGGTTAGACAGTGTCATCTGGCGACCCCCAGGAGGAGAGCCTTCTCTGTGGGAGCACCTGCCCTCTGGAACGAGCTGCCCCCGGAGATTCGTCGGATTTCCGACCTCCGTACCTTCCGCCGCGCCCTTAAAACCTATTATTCCATCAAGCAGGGCTGGCCTAAAATATTATTTGAATGGGTTATTGTGTTTTAGATGATTGGCCAAACTAATCATCTAGAGCCTTGGTAGTACAGGGGTTTAAGGCACCCTGTTATTAAGCTGGTTATTAAGATCAGCTGCCTGCAATTACTGCAGGGTTCGAATCTCGCCAAGGCTCAAGGTTGACTCAGCCTTCCATCCTTTCTAAGGTAGGTAAATTGAGGACCCAGTTGTGGGGGCAATAAGCTGACTTTGTATAAATATACAAAAGGATGAAGGCTATTGCTGAGCACATTGTAAGCCACCCAGTCTTCGGAGAAGGGCGGCATATAAATCAAATTAAAAAAAAAAACAAAAAAAAAAACTATTTAACAATTTTAAATTGTTTTTAGTTTCTATATTGCTGGTTTTTATCTTGGCTGTACACCGCCCTGAGTCCCTTTGGGAGAAGGGCGTATAAAAATTTGATAAATAAATAAAAAAATAAATAAATAAATAAATAAATAAATCATATCAGGACGTTCAAAAGTCAAGCCAACTCTGAGTAGTTCCCGCGCTTTGGCATAATTTAAAGATAGATACTGCCCACCCCCCCACCCCTTGTGTCCCATATCACGTTAGCAAACCAAGCAGGTGATGAAACTCTTAGTACTCCCTTCCTGCCATTGCTAGGATACGATGGGTTAGTTTCAGCTCTCATGAGTCTTATCAGTGTTACGTCTGTCACTCTTAAAAGGAAACATTCTACATTCCACAAATCTCCTTCCCCGGTTGTCCCTGTGGAATAGACTCCCAGGCTATTACCTAGGCCAATGCCTATGGCGGGACCCTTTTCATAGTCCCTGGGCCCATAATGTCAGATGTAAAATGCCTTATTCTCTAATGTGTAAATAATATATGAACGGGGTATCAGGGTTAACTTATTCTTCACTTCTTAATGTATTCATAATTCACCACTCCCACTTATAGCTCCACCCATTGTATATATATAAGGAGCCACCTACACCCTTTTCTTTGCTTCTATCTGTGAATATTCAGTGAATATAGAATGCCTATTGTAAATAAAAGGAAATATATTTAAACCTTTAACTCTTACTAATATTATTGAGTCTGATCCTGAAAATATTGCAACAAGCTGGTAGCAGAGGATGTTAATTGACTCAATAAAAAACTTAAAAATGTCTAAGAAAGATAGGCCCAACACCAGGCCTACAGCAAAGAAATGGAAACAGAACAAGAAATAATCAACGAATCCACAAACGCAATTTCGAGAGAGTCCGAAGAATACACCACTGAAGACGAAGAAATAATTGATGACCAGAAGGAAATCGAAATAGAGAATAATGAACTCAGGTCAGAGATATTAAAACTATTAAAGAGCCAGAAGAATGATGAAAGCCTCATCGCGAAACTCCAAGATATGCTGAAGGACAGCAGAGCAGCGAGAGAGAAAAACATCACTAATGAAAAGTCTAAAGACCCAAAAATAGTGAGTGATATGACTGCAGAGAAAGTCATTACGAAGAAGAAAAACGGTGATCCTGCGCGAAATTTTGAATGGCAGCCATCTTGGTTTCAACAGGCCTCCAGGTGAGCGAAGCAGAGCCAATCAAAATGCTCAATTCAAAATTTCTGGCGCAAAAAAACGTTATCAAACAACGAAAATGAAAAAGAAGATTCAAACTCCTCAGAAGAATCAGAATCAGAAAGTGAAGATGATTCAACAAACTCCCAAATAAAATCAGCAATGAAAACGCTTTTTGCTGCATTTGGGCCAAAACTAAAAATTAACAAACAGCTACCGAAGAAGCGAGCGAGCAAGCCGATGCCTCAAGACCTGCCCGCTCCCATCCTGACTACGAGGACGCCGACGCCCGAACCCAGAGAGCCCTGCCGGTACTGCCCTACGCCACAGACCGAAGCAAGCATCAAAGCCCTCAGGGGAAGAGGAAGAGCAGCCGCCGTCGTCAAGACTCCCAAAATTGAACCAGAGACCGATTCATCTGAAGAGGAGCAGAACGAGCGAGCCACAATGGAGAGAACCTTCCACGACGACTCCAAAGAAGAAATGGACAACGCGCATGCGCAAAACTACGCAGACGGTCCGGAAGACATGAACTGGCGAGGAGATCATGCAGACTCGTTGCGAGCATCCCATGCCGTTTTGCAATTTTCTACACTTGCGAGACCACGGACTACCTCAGGTTGTAAGTAATGGACACAATAATGTCGGAAATTTACCCAGTGACTTCCCAAAGCTAAGGGTTGATGGCGTTAATTTGCAAGAATGGTATCAACAGCTCCAGGTTGTCTTTATGAAGGAAAACTTATTATTTTTTATCACTAGTCCCCCAAAAAGACCTTGGACTCTAAAAATAGATTGTTTACACATAGAGCATTTTTCTTAATAATATCTAGTGTGTCTCCTGCAATGTATCATAGCATTAAGCCAAATCTGACTGTTGCAGAAATCATTCAATGTATGTTTAATTTGTTTCACAGTGACAGTGTAGCTACCACCACAAGGATGTCTAAAGATTTCTTTTCATCTAGGGTAAAACCAGGGTTTTCCATAAGTGAGCATTTAATATATTTAAACAAAATAAGAGCTGAGCTGCATT